GTGCCCGGGATCTGAAACCCAGCGCCAGCAGCAGAGCGCGGGCACTTAACCGCCAAGCCATGGGGCGGCCCTAACATTCAGTTTTTAAAATCGCATAACAAGAATGTAAAAAGGTTCACTTATACAGATAAATAAAAATTAGCAATTGATGGTTTCTGGAAAGTTTTTGCTGAAGTGAGCCTTGCATCTAAAGTCTACTAAATGTATTCTGAGCATTCTCATAAATTACCCTACACCCTAAGACAAAATCCTGCCTCCCGTGCCCGCTTGCGTAGATCCAGAGGGCAAGAAACTGGATCCAAGTTTTTTCTCTCCCACTGCCTCCTCCTCACTGTTTCTCAGAACAAAAAATAAAGTGACACTCAAGTTGTCCTTGAGGGTGTGTCGGCCGGTAAGGGAGGAGAGGCAAGCTGCAGTTATATGGAAAGGATGTCATTACCTCATGGCTCCCCAGACGAGCAATTTTCATGTTACCTTTAAAGCATAGCAATGTCTGCTTGTTTTGGAAAGAAGGAGTCTCCAAAGGGGAAAAATACTGATTTCAGTTTCAGAGTATAGAAAGGTAAACAGGCACCCCTGGAGGAACACTTTAATGTTGTAACCCACCATGTCCAAACCCGGGGCGTTCACGTGCTTACATCATGGCAAGCAAAACAAAATTCTCACACCGTGATTTTACCTTCTGCATGGATGTAATGTAGGATCATCTCAAACACACTGAGAACCAGAAATAGCAACATGAACTCGTGATTTTTTACTTATTATGAAATTTTTGCTGTACATTATTGTTTGTCAGTCACCATATAAGTGCATCCCTCCACCCCTTGTGCCCACCCCCCAACCCCCATACCCTGGTAACCACCAAACTGTTCTATCTGTCCATGTGTTGGTTTATCTTCCACATATGAGTGAAATCATGCACTGTTTGTCTTTCTCTTTCTGGCTTATTTCACTTAACATAATACCCTCCAGGTCCATCCATGTTGTTGCAAATGGGAAGATTTTGTCTTTTTTTATGGCTGAGTAGTATTCTGTGGTATGTATATACCACATCTTCTTTATCCAATCATCAGTCGAGGGACACTTGGGTTGCTTCTGTGTCTTGGCTGTAGTGAATAATGCTGCAATGAACATAGGAGTGCATAAGCCTCTTTGGATTGTTGATTTCAGGTTCGTTGGGTAGATACCCAGTAGTGGGATAGCTGGATCATAAGGTATTTCTATCTTTAATTTTTTGAGGAATCTCCATACTGTTTTCCATACAGGCTACACCAGTTTGCATTCCCACCAGCAGTGGATTAGGGTTCCCATTTCTCCACAGCCTCTCCAGCTTTTGTTGTTTTTTGTCTTGGTGATTATAGCCATTCTAAC